AGACATTACAAATAGTAGCTTTAGAAATAAATATTTTATTTGATTAAAAAAAATAAAATTATTATTTGTAAAAAAAACTATATATATTATTACACAAACATTTAGGCTACAATGGCCTAACATAAACTATGGAACATAAAAGAAGATAATTTGAGAAACATCTCAGTATTTTTTGTTCATACAATGAAAGTCTTAAACAGCTTAGTTGCCCACAGTCTTCTTTTCTTTTTTTTTAATGAAACAATGTTCTAAATAAGAAACTTAAACTGCCAGCAGGTGGCGGTAAATGTCTTTATACGTTCATTCATTCGTTCATTCATTCATTCAGTCGTTCGTTCATTCATTCGTTCGTTAGTTCGTTCATTCATTCATTCATTCAGTCTTTCGTTCATTCGTTTGTTCGTTCGTTCATTCATTCGTTTGTTTGTTCGTTCATTCATTCATTCAGTCGTTTGTTCATTCATTCGTTCGTTCATTCATTCATTCAGTCGTTTGTTCATTCATTTGTTTGTTCGTTCGTTCATTCATTCATTCAGTCGTTCGTTCGTTCATTCATTTGTTTGTTCGTTCGTTCATTCATTCAGTCGTTCGTTCATTCATTCATTCAGTCGTTCATTCATTCATTCATTCAGTCGTTCATTCATTCATTCATTCATTCATTCAGTCGTTCATTCATTCAGTTGTTCATTCATTCATTCATTTGTTCGTTCGTTCGTTCATTCATTCAGTCGTTCGTTCATTCATTTGTTCGTTCGTTCATTCATTCATTCATTCAGTTGTTTGTTCATTTATTTGTTCGTTCGTTCATTCATTCATTCAGTCGTTCGTTCATTCATTTGTTTGTTCGTTCGTTCATTCATTCATTCAGTCGTTCGTTCATTCATTCGTTCGTTCATTCATTCATTCAGTCGTTCGTTCATTCATTCATTTGTTCGTTCATTCATTCATTCATTCATTCATTCAGTCGTTCGTTCGTTCATTCATTTGTTTGTTCATTCGTTCATTCAGTCGTTCGTTCATTCATTCATTCAGTCGTTCGTTCATTAATTTGTTTGTTTGTTCGTTCATTCATTCATTCATTCAGTCGTTCGTTCATTCATTCATTCAGTCGTTCGTTCATTCATTTGTTCGTTCGTTCGTTCATTCATTCATTCATTCAGTTGTTGGTTCATTCATTTGTTTGTTCGTTCGTTCGTTCATTCATTCATTCATTCATTCAGTCGTTCGTTCATTCATTCGTTCGTTCGTTCATTCATTCATTCAGTCATTCGTTCATTAATTTGTTTGTTTGTTCGTTCATTCATTCATTCATTCGTTCGTTGGTTCATTCATTCATTCAGTCGTTTGTTCATTCATTTGTTTGTTCGTTCGTTCATTCATTCATTCAGTCGTTCGTTCATTCATTTGTTTGTTCGTTCATTCATTCATTCATTCAGTCGTTCGTTCGTTCATTCATTTGTTTGTTCGTTCATTCATTCATTCAGTCGTTCGTTCATTCATTTGTTCGTTCGTTCATTCATTCATTCATTCAGTTGTTGGTTCATTCATTTGTTTGTTCGTTCGTTCATTCATTCATTCATTCAGTTGTTGGTTCATTCATTTGTTTGTTCGTTCGTTCATTCATTCAGTTGTTCAGTTGTTGGTTCATTCATTTGTTTGTTCGTTCGTTCATTCATTCATTCAGTCGTTCGTTCATTCATTCGTTCGTTCATTCATTCATTCATTCATTCATTCATTCAGTCATTCGTTCATTAATTTGTTTGTTTGTTCGAACAACTGAATGAATGAATGAATGAACGTTCATTCATTCATTCATTCATTCGTTTGTTCGCTCATTCATTCATTCATTCGTTCAAACAGCTGATTCACTCAGGAATGAAGTAAACAGCTCAGTTTATGATTAGGCTATTCATTGAATCATTGGATTTGTTCAAAACGCGGATTCATTCAGAAACTAAACCCCGATGTGCTGCTCACAGATGCATAACAGTTCTGCGGCGGCTTTAAAGGTAACATTTTCCTCGGCAAAATAGAGCAAAACAGACAATATTGTGTAAAAAAAAAACAATATCAACTACTTATTTACTGAACTGTTATATAAAGTCATATTTAAACGCGTGATATATTCGTGACAAAACAGCATTCGTGTGATATTGCTCTTGCTGCTCATATGGTATTGCTTATCATATGATATAAATATGAGACAAAAACTCGTACAGGGTCATTTTTTGCCCCTGTATCATGAATTTTAGGGCATAACTGCATTTACAGAGTTGTTGTCCTGCATCATATCTGTCATCAGTCAACTGTATGAAATGTAAGGTCTGATGTACAGGTCTGGGGGCGGGGCCAGTGCGTTAAAACATTTTAATTGCGTTATTTTTTCATAACTAGTTAATTGACGCATTAAACTGTCAGCCCTAATTTATACACTTTTGAACCACAAATGTTGGGCTTGCTCTAGCTCTGCGATGCACGTCTTCACACATTACGCAATCCTGTTGGAAAGGTTAGTTCTTCATCTTTGTACTTCATTTAAAAACTCCATCTCATTTTCTCCTCCAACTTTAAAATCATCCGACATTGTTGTTTTACCTTTTTCATCAAGGGCATTTTACTTTTTTTGCATGTTTACTTTGTACTTCCACCTACAAAGTTAAACATCACCTTTCCAACATCACCTAATAATAGGGCTGCCCTCGACTAAAGATTTTTCTGGTCGACTAGTCATTCATTTTTAAGCATTAGTCGACTAATCCCACATTTATTAATAAACCATTTAAATCATTACAATGAGCCTTTAATAGCCGACATATCCTATAAGCGCTCAAGCGCATGCATAAGCTTGCCACAGCGCACCGCAGAAGTAATGATTAATATGAATGTGTCGGGGAAAAACAGTAAGGAGGCTGCATTAACATTTTAAAAATGTATTGATACACTAGTGCTTTTTTCTTTTTCGGTTTAAGAGATGAAGTCGGCGACACCGACTCGTCATCTCCGTCTTTATGCATGTTTCATACGGATAACATAATCTAAGAATATTTGTTTTTCATTTGAATTGGTTAATTTGAAAGCAGACAGAAAAGACATTTCACTTTTTATAGATTGCCTATATTTTTTTTCATGACTTTAAGGCAAAGATATAAACAGAATTTCGCGCACAAGTTCACAGAGACCAAGACGGCAGAAAGCGCATCCTGTTTTCTTTCATTATTCTACAAAAGCGCAATGTTTTGTTGTTATTGTGAGTGCACAGAAATAAACGTAGAGTCTTAACAGATTCAAAATTTATCTGTATGATCAAAATGAGGGAGTATTTTAAGAGCAAGTGAGCGCTACTGTTCAGCTTCCACACTCCGCAGACACTTCAATAGCGCACATTTCTCTAGGTTAACATTAGACTCAGTGGCCATTTAAAGTTGCTAATACATACTAATTTCAGATGATAAGCTATATTTGAGGTCGATGAATGACCCATCAAAGGATGAACACCCTGTGTTATAAACAGTGGCGTGTAAAACTAGTCTTGTATATTTAGTTCACCCCAAAATGGGCCAGTAGTATTTGCATATTGTCACTTAACTTCTGCTGCTTGACTTCACGGAGTAAGGATCATTACAAAATTAAAATTAGCCACAGAAGAGGTGCAGATTTTGCAATAAATAAATAAATAGACTGCAGCAATTAACATTTTGTCAGAACCTCTAGTACATTACATGCTATTTTTTGTTGTTGTCTGTTCGTAGGAGAATCATGATCTCTATTTGAAAGAATAAAAAAATAAATATCGTGACTATCAATTTATCCAGAATTTATCCCCCCATCGCCTTATGTAAATAAGCACCAGTCAAGCTGCGATATCAAATAGGACCACAGGGAGATGCCAAAAGCCCACTAAACCTGCTGTCTTACTGTAACGGATCCATTCAGAATAACTAAACCAGCGCATAATCTAAAACACCTCCAGTCACCATCCAGTATAGCACTCGTGCTTTTAAACCAAATACATGCTGAAAATAATAATTTACTGACATCTGGACTCGACTCTCCACAATCTCTGATGAAATTGGTTGGGTTTTCTTTGTATTAGAGCTGTTTTGAACTTACGGTTTGAACGCAAAAAAAAGTTTACAGGAGTTTACCGGTTTTTAAGCTATTGTTTTCGTTCTAATATACTGATTCAAATTAGTAATCAAGAATGAACTATTATTTTACCACTCTGCGCACCTCCCCTGATGCTGTCGTGCATGAAGAAGCAGCATCTCTGTCACTATCATGAAACATATTTCAAAGGAAGCCGGCGTCACTGTCTTTACTGGGTGTTTTTAGGGAATATTTGTATTTTTCACATGCGATTGGATTAGCTATTCACGTGGTGGACTGTCATGATTTTGCCTAATGCAGGACACTAATGAATGATGCACATCAGAGGGGATCTAGAAGTGGGTATACGCCGTATACCCTCCACTACACCACTGGTGTAGAGCCCTTTGAAGCTGCATTGAAACTGCATTTTGGACCTTGAAATCATTGGCCACCATCGAAGTCCACTGTATGGAGGAAAATCCTGGAATGTTTTCCTCAAAAAACCCAATTTCTTTGTGACTGAAGAAAGAAAGACATGAATATCTTGGATGACATGGGGGTGAGTACATTATCAGGAAATGTTTATTCTGGAAGTGGACTTCTCCTTTAAGACGTCTCCGCATCCGCTGGAAGTGTGAGACTCACCGTGGCGTTTCCAGCGGTGTCCGCGGATGGACAGGCTGGTGACGGCGTTGCGGGAGATGCGGGAAGCCGTGGGAGTGATCTCCACCTGGATGGAGCGAGTTCCCTCTTTATTGGCTTTCAGAGACGCGCCGTGGAGAGACGACTTGATGGCGTTTCCCACCTGAGCAAGAGTCAAGACTTTAGAGCAACACAAAACATCTTTTTATATACAACCGTGTGGATATATCTTCTGTTTGGTGTATATATATTCCTAAATTAGGCATGTAAAAATGCGCAGATGCATCTGGCAAAGAAAATTCAAGTTACAGTTATTCTGTATTACATAAAGTGTTACATGTTAATTTCTTATCCAAAAAAATTAGCAATTTACAGTTGCAAAAATGTTATGAATCAAAATTATTTTTAAATTAAAAATATATATACACGCATATACTATATATAATATATTGTATTATATGGAGGACCAAACCTGCAGAAATAAAAAATAAATACATTAATAGATACACCGATACATAAATAAATAAATGTAATAATAGCAAAATAAATAAAGGAATAAATGATACGTCATCCGCCCGGAGCTGCTTCCAGTGTACAACAGTGAGCGCAAGCTACATTAAAGTGATTATTACATCTGAATATGGTTATTTTTCTTACAAAAACGCATCGCTTTGCTACAGAAGGCCTTTGTTCACCCCCCGGAGCCGTGTAAGACACTATTTTTTTGGATGAGCGCATTTTAATTGAGTGCTTTTTGCATTAAATGGCTTGAAAGATCAAAGACCATTTTTAATATAACTCCGACTGGATTCGTCTGAAAGAAGAAAGTCATATTCACCAAGGATGACTTGAGGGTGAGTACTTTATGGGAGAGAAAGTCAACTTATGGAAATTTGCAACTGTTTGGATATTGTTCTAAATCATAAATACATTTAATAAAACTAATAAAATTACAAATATATAATTTCCTAAAAAATAATTGCATTAAAATGTATTTATTAAATATGAATTATAAATTGTAAATTATTATTTTTAAACATGTTTTTTATACTTTTATTATGTACTGTATATAAATAATATATATGTAGCAATATATAATCAAACCAGATTCTGTTTTAATGTGTCTAATCTCACTTTCATTTCAATAAAGACTCATTATCAAATCCAATCACTGTCAGAGCAAGTATTTACTCTCCTAACATAAGTGTTGGCCACTCTAACAGGATCAGTGAGTGAATGTGAGAAATGCTTCGGCTGTGTGTAATCTGTGCTGAAGCGTGAAACACACCAGCAGTGCCTCTGGGAAGAGCTCCAGCTGCGCTCGGTACAACACGTCATCCAGAGCCCTCGAGCCCAGCTCCACCTCACCGTTACACCTGCACACACACACAGAGAGAGAGAGAGAGAGAGAGAGAGAGAGAGAGAGAGACACACGCAAAAAGAGAGAGAGAGAGAGAGAGAGAGAGAGAGACACACACACACACAGAGAGAGAGAGAGAGAGAGAGACACACACACACACACAGAGAGAGAGAGAGAGAGAGAGAGAGAGACACACACAGACAGACACACGCAAAGAGACACACACGCACACGCAGAGACACACAGAGACACACACACGCAAAGAGACACACACACACAGAGAGAGACAGACAGACACAGACACGCAAAGAGACACACACACAGAGAGACACACACACACAGAGACACACACACACAGAGACACACACACACAGAGACACACACACACACACACACACAGACACAGCCACACAGAAAGAGAAACACACAA